AAGTACTCATTTGTTTCATGCATGCACACATACATACCTGCCTTGTAGGAAGATATATATATATATATATATATATATATATAGTAGGAACATATTTGGGATCCAGTTTGGACACAAATGCCCTGAATCCCACATCCTCCACAATACTGAAGGGCTGTATGTTCTTCACTACCATTGTCACAAGGGCTTCATCTAGCTCCTGTTTTCTGGTGGCTAGTTAAAAGAAAATAAATACAGTGTTACTTGTCTTTATTTGCACACAAAACATGTGTGAACATAGTTCCTGTGCAGCCACCTGTCTGACAACAAAACAAATAACATTATTTGTAATTGACTTTAAAAATTGAGTTTTTATTGCTGCTTGTTTTTTTTTATATTAAACTTGTTTTCATGGTTGGTTCACCAGCAGATGCCAGGCGATGAGATGAGCGCTGCCGCCTCAGAGGGAGACGAGAAGGCGACGACGTCTCACCCGGATTTTAACAACCCTTCCGCCCCCGCGCACTTCTCCGAACTCTCACCATGTCATTTTGGCATCAGCAGTCAGAGTTTTATCCCAACACTGTCGACAAGCAAAGTTAAATAAATGTTCTCCATGAAAACAAAAAAAATTCCTTTACATTCAGAATTGATAATGTCGATGATTATTATGAAAAATTTAATTTTTTTTTTTTTTTTTCATAGACAATCCCGCAAAACTAAAGGCTAGGCGGAGGCGCTCTACTATTGGTGTCCAAGGTTCACCAGAGACAAACACTCTCATTCGCTTCATGGCACAACAGAGGATGAAAACTCCACCAACACCGGTATGATGATGATGATGATTATTACTATTATTATTTTAACTAAATTATCGGATCGGTATTGGAGGCTAGGTATCGGTACCTGTATCGAGATTTAAAAGATCAGATCGAAGAGTGGCTTTTGAATTCATTTGTATTTCTGTTAGGGTTTAGTTCCAGTCACGGACGTTACGTCAGAGAAGTTGGTCTCTAGAGGTGCTGTTGAGGTCTTTGTATTCCAGTAGTTTACAGCGATGTTAATTAATCTGGATTAATTAAGCTCAATTATGACGAATTACAATCAAGACTAAATACAAAGAATACATCTCAACATATCCGTCAACGTTTGCCCCTCCCTTAGGCTACGTCGACCCTGAGGCAGAAGATGGCCACCTTCCAAAACCTGATGGACTTGGAGAAGAAGGAGGTTTACGAATTGACCCCAAAGCAGAACAGGACACGAGGTTACCATTGGGGGAGCCCTCTTTAGAATCAAATTTATCTCTGTCTCTGCCGAACTGATTTGTTGACGTGTTAATGTATCTTTATTGGACAAATAGATGACAGCGGTAAGGAGAACCACCCACCATCGGAGACCCCCCCAGTCCTGTTCAGCTGAAGGAGGTAGTGTTCCATTTTTGGTTTTACTTTTCTCCAAAAATTAAAAATAAATTTGTTGTGTTGGTGTCACTCATTGACCAACGCTGAGACGGGTCCACGTTGACCCTGTGCTCCGGGCTCATCATTTTATCGGAGAAATAGTCTTTAGCCGTGTTGCACCAGGCGGAACTGAGGGGAACAACAAACAACAACTGAAGGTTTTTGTAGGAACTCCCTGGAAAAATACCAAATGAACTGGGGTCAAATTGGTACTGGATCAGTGGAGGTGGTGAACCCACGCTGACCTCACTGATCTCCACTTTAGGGCGGGTGTAGACTGTACGATTTTTTAAAATCTTGTCTTTGATACCGTCACGCACTGTACGAGTGATCACCTACGATGTACGGCCAAAGCTCACGATTTATGTACTCTGTACGGTCCGATCATCGAACGCGACCAGAGAGCTCACACTGTGCGGGTGAAAACAGCCCATCGCCCCCTGCTGACTGTCCTGTCTAATGACAGCTGTCAATAAAGATTTATTTGAAAGCGCCGACGCCGGTTATTAGCAACATGCTATTCAAAAAGAAGAAGGCTGCCGTTATGATTGCTGCGATACTGTGCGCTGAAAATTCGGAAAAGAAAAGGGGCCGGCGCATCTGGAGTCGGAGATGGCTCAATAAACGTGGACAGTACGTTTATTGTTTATTTATTACGTTTATTGTGGACAGCGCCACAGCTCTATCGATCTCGCCTCCATATTTTCGTGCCACCGACGCCTCACCATGGTTACTATCACTTTGCGCTTTCCACTGTGCGAAACAATTTGTCGGCAAATAAAAAAAATTCTGACATGTCAGAAATTCTTCCGACCGTCGGACGGTGGTTTGGGGACAGATAATCGGCCCTTGACGCCTGACGAAACGTGAAATCGGGCCGAGCGTCGCCAGGTCATGCGTCTCAAAAATCGGGTCAAAAACGGGCTAAAATCGTACAGTGCCCGCCCTTACTGGTGACCCTCAGACCAGCGTCCAGCTCAGGGATACTTTCATTTTTCATCTTTCAACAGAAGGAAGTTCTCCCTCCTCAGAGCTCTGTCCCCCGACCAGACGAAGATCCCGTCTTCCTCCTTCTCACCCCCCGTCGTCCTTCAATGTCGGGGATCAGGTTGTCAGGTAATGGATCTAAACCGTTGTGCGGGTCTGGATCTAAAAAATATTTCATTTTTTTATACTCAGATGTTTGAAGGTTTGTAGCGGCGAATCTGACGTTTTGACTCTCGGCAGGAGACGAAGACTCTTCTGGGACGTCTCCCGTGAGGAAGAAGAAGAAAGTTCACTTTGGAGGCCTTCTCTCCCCTGAGTTATTCGATAAGAACCTGCCCCCGAGCACTCCGTTACAGAAGGGAGGAACCCCCCTGCGTGCCTCCACCCCGGCTCGAGGCCTGACGCTTCAGTCGGTGCTGAAGAAGTCCGGGCGGAGTGAGACCCCAAGAACGTGCGGTCGGCCTGATCTCAGTAGCCTGACTGAGCTCGGTGCCTCTCCGTCGCTGACGCTTCCTCACAGGTCCCGGGTGACGTTCGAAGACGAGGGAGAAAAGACTGACGTGGAGGAGGAGGTGAGAGACGGGGGAGGAGGGACATGACAACATTGGGGGAAAACTCTTCTCACAGTGTTTCTTATTGTATTTTGTAGGGATGTCCGATATACTCTTTTTTTCCACTATGCCGATACTCCGAACACTTGATTCCGATTACCACATCTACCGATATAGCGGGGCAGTTGTGGCCTGCTGGTTAAGGAAGTTAAGTGCCGCCTGCTCACTAAGGTGATGGGTTAAAGCAGTGTTTCTCAATTATTTTCTTCCATGCTCCCCCTAGGGGACAGGAAGTTTTTTCATCCCCCTTACCACCTAAATATTAGAAATATTATTGAGCGCCTGGTAATATTTACGTAATTATCTGTAAATAACCAGCATACAACCCCCTGAATATTAAAATAGATTAATAAAAGGAGCTGCAATGCTGCCATCTAGTGACCTTCACTTTCATACAGCTGTTTTTCCCCAAAACTAATTTTAGGGCACACATCATTAGTGTGCAGGTTATCGGGTTTTCATTGTCGGAGGAAAAAATTATTCTTACAGATATTACGTAATTACGCTAATATCTGGCCAATATTATTGGCCGACCGATATTATCGACCAGATATTAGCATAATTGCTTTGACATCCCTAGTATTTTGTGTTTCTGAGACGGAGAAATTCATCAAAGCTCTTACTGGAGTCACGTTGTTTTCCAGATTGTTCTCCCCTCCATGAAGGAGATCTTCACTGCGATGTCGAGCGACACAGGTACGTTACAGCAGTTTGTGTCGTTTCTGAACGTGGATTGGACGCGTCTGTGATGTAAAAGTTCTCACTCTCTGTTGAAATCCTAGAATGCTTGGACTTTCAGCCGTCGAGCGTGAATTCTGCCTCAGGTGAGGAGGCGTCGTCTCAGACAGGTGAGTCTCCTACGCAGACCATAATTTTTTTATATTTTTTATATTATATATTTACAACTTTTTTCCTCAGAGTCTGACAGTGACATCATCACTTCCTCCGGGACGCGTGACGCTGCGGCTCCGGTGACGTCCGGGAGAAAAAGGGCGAGAAAAAACGACTTTGTCAGAAGGTCGACGCGCTCCTCTGCCAGGGCCGCCTGTGGCAAGATGAAGGTGAGACAGTCGCACAACTACGGTGCACCTCGCATCTACTAACGAAGGGTGTCGGAAATATCAATATAGTGAAATATATCGATATTCTACAGCACAATTAACGCATAATGCAAATTGAGTTATTTTTGTGTTGCATTTAAACCTCCGACCACTAGTTGATTGTACAGGGATCACACTTGGACTACAGCTACACTGGGGGGGGGAAAACCCTCAATATATCGTCATGACTATAGTATCGCAGTATATCGTATTGTTGCATGATACGTATCGTATTGCCAGATTTTTGCCGATTTACACCGCTACTCCTAACCAGAGGTGTTGACTCGAGTCGCATGACTTGGACTCGAGTCAGACTCCTGGAGTCATCAATTTGATGATTTAAGACTCGACTTGACAAAATGACAAGACTTGCACAACTACGGTGCACCTCGCATCTACTAACGAAGGGTGTCGGAAATATCAATATAGTGAAATATATCGATATTCTACAGCACAATTAACGCATAATGCAAATTGAGTTATTTTTGTGTTGCATTTAAACCTCCGACCACTAGTTGATTGTACAGGGATCACACTTGGACTACAGCTACACTGGGGGGGGGAAAACCCTCAATATATCGTCATGACTATAGTATCGCAGTATATCGTATTGTTGCATGATACGTATCGTATTGCCAGATTTTTGCCGATTTACACCGCTACTCCTAACCAGAGGTGTTGACTCGAGTCGCATGACTTGGACTCGAGTCAGACTCCTGGAGTCATCAATTTGATGATTTAAGACTCGACTTGACAAAATGACAAGACTTGAAACTCGACTTGGACTTTAATGTCAACGACTCGTGACTTCACTCGGACTTGAGCCCTTTGACTCGACAAGACTTGATACTTTCTCCAAAACCCACAGATTATAAAGTAAGTCATTAAGGAGTAAGTTAGACCCACGTTGTTTTGACGCGATAGCATCGAGCCAATTGGTTGCGGGACAACCAATGAGGAAGAGCTGTCGAACAACGCGCGGTTGAGAGAAAATTAGACCAAAGATCGTGTTGTTCGGATTTAAAAACGAGATGGTCAACAAAAAACGAGTGGCAGTGATCTGTGTAAATATATTATTATTTTGTTTAAAACGACTCGAAAAGGACTCGAAACAGAAACAGCAGGACTTGGGACTTGACACTCTTCGGTCTTGACTTGGACCGAACTCAGACTTTGCCTGTCCTGACTTGAGACTTGACTCGGACTTGAGTGCAAAGACTCGAGACTTGCTTGTGACTTGCGAAGCAATGGCCTGGTCCCATACCTGATGATGGTTAACCTGTCTTTCAGTTCGACTAGATCTGAAGATTCCGCTCCGATGACGCCGTCATTTACTTCTTAGATTTACTGCCGTATTAGAACTTTCACAGTCAACGTTGCCATGACGACAGAGTTGTTGTTTGTTTTTTTTTGACAGAAATCCTCCGCGGGAAGTTGTCGTTGGAGCAGGGGCGTGGATCGCTCACTGTACGGCTCTCATGAGTACGCCTCCAAGAACCCAACACTGAGCCCCATCACGGAGAGGCGTAGTGCGGGCGCAGAGGCAGCTGCGTCTTCAGGTACTGACTGATCCGTCAGTGGTCAATGTTCCACGTGTTAATATTTTGTCTGTAAGTTGGTGTTTTTTTTACATTTTCTCTGTGGCGCCTCCTCAGAAACTGACCTCACGGCCCAGATGGCCCGTAGCGTAGAGGACCCGACTTCCCCCATGGTGGTCCAGACGTCGGACGACTGCATCTTGTCTCCCAGCTCGGCTACGAAAAGACGGGCTAGAGCTGCTGACTCTGATCTCCTCAGTGAGGAGCTGAGTGAAGACCAAAGTTCATCTCAGCATAGTTCGGCCAAACAGACATTGGTCAACAGTGACCTGACCTCTGACCCTGAGCCCGCTGAGGAATCAGAACCCCTTCACTCTCCTCCACTCGCAGGAAATGAAGCGGAACAGGAACCGGAGCGGGACTTGAGAGACAACAGCAGCAGCTCAGACTCGGCTCCCTCACAGGTCGACTTTTATTTCGAGGATGTTTTTAAACACGTGGCCAGCAGGAGGCAGCGTTCTGTGCGCCGCAGCCTGAGGAACCAAAGCAACGTGGTCTCTGACAACAGCGACGCCAGTCTGGCCTGGTTGCCTTGGACCCCATCGCAGTACAGTCGGAGCTTCAAGAGGAAAAGCAGCCGGCGAGTGGCCGGAGCCGGTCTGACCAATCAGACGTCAGCCTCTGAGGAGACGCAGGAAACAGTGTGATGGAAAAGTCAAGGGAGACGCCGGACATCTTTAACTCTTGGAATAAAACGGAGGAGGCGGTGGAAACCACAACATCACATCTGCTGTGACGGGGACTGGACCTGGATGTGGCGATTGTACTGACCCCAGAACTGCCCCCGCCCCCCCCTCAAAACCTCAAAACCACCTCCTGTCTTTTAGAGGCCAGGACCAGTTTCTGCTGCTGTGTTCACATCCAGGTTTCACCGATGTCCTGTTTGTTTGTTTTTTTTAGTTTTTTTTACGTGTATGTGCGTGTGCATGTGCGTGTGTGTGCGCGCGCACATGCTGATGACAGTCACCGTCGCCACTAATGAACTCTACAGATAGACCAGTCATTACTCTCCATCTGGTGGATGAACGTCACAGATTAGAGAAGAGAAAATGAAACGTGTTGTTTTTGTTTTGTTTTTTAAATGAAGGATGAGAGTGTTCACTTCACTGACCCATCTCCCTGGAGCGATGACCGTCGGCACGCCGATAGAAAAACGTAGAATCAAATCCATGAAACCACGTCCATGATTCATTCCATCTTATCACAAATAAACCCTGATGTGAAACACTGACCTCTAGCTGCCGATGTCGGTCTCTCTGTTCCAGCAATTTACAGGGATTTTGTTTTTCAACATTTAAGAAATTCTTGATTAATTATAATTACCAGTCCTGACTGACAGCTTGATTGACAGCAATAAATCGATCATTTTTATCGATCCACTTTTCCTGCGATTTTATTACGTCGTTGTTCCACAAACTACTGCCCAGGTCGTTAGGGTTTTTTTACACTTACATCTAGACTCCGTGTCACAGTCTCCGACCTGATAAGACTTGACTCTCATCACCTGTGGTGCAGGATGGATGTTGTCACAGCGCTATCTAGTGGAAGCCTGAGAAGCATGAGTGAACTTAGCTTTTGTCAGAGTAGCTGTTTTAACTTATAGTTAACTATACCCTCACCCCCCCAACCTCAGGTCAGAGGACCATCTTTGGGCCGGGACAATAAACTGAAGTAAAAAAAATAAATAAAATAAAACAGCGTTCAGACGGCGGCGATCCCCAAACTGAAGACGGCTTAAGCGCAACAATGGAGTCTTTTCAGCCAGTGACCCCCAAGACATGTGGCCTCTTGTCACCTTGGCAACCTCTCGTTAGACGGGGGGGGCGGTAGAGGGGGGGCTGACAGCTGGGGAGGACCAACAGAAAACGGAGTCTGTTGAAGCTGCCCGGTCTCTTCTCATAAACCTGACTTACAGTCGATGACATAAAAATCACACCGATTGCACCGATTATTGGCGTGTAATTAGCAACAATTTCTGGACAAAAGTGAAAAGTCTTGTTAAAAAAAAGGAGAAGGTCAGAGAGGAAACAGTGGAGCAGCTTCAAAATAAAAGACACTAACATTTAGAGTAATATTTATAGTCCGGTTTTATCGCCAGAACATGTGCTGGTCACCGATTGGCTGACTTTGACCTCGATGACCTTTAGATCTGGTTTATCATCAGTTCTATCGTTTTAGTTTCTCCGATTTTTTTTTTCACTGTAAAATCAAGCAGAGTCCAAGATCATGTTAAAAAGTACGCACCGTTCTCCGGAGCCCCTAAAGGGACATAGGGGGCGGGGCTCCAATGGGTGCGCACCGCAAAAATTTCTGATGTCCTGAAATTTTTATTTTTTTATTTTTTTCTCATGTCTCTACACCGTAATACGCTTAGCTCCAGGGTAGAACTGGTTAAAAAGGAGCAGTCCGGAGTTTCGGTTTAGCTTAATGCTAACCGTTAAGTCGCACCATCGAAGTCACTCTGTGAAATTATATCACCTTATAAAAAAATACGACGATTTGCGATATAATTCCACAAGAATTGCACTGCCCTCCCCCGTGAGTTTGGACAGTGACCCCTGGTGTTGACAAATCAATTAAAATATTTCAGATTTTTACACCAGACTGAAGCGTAGACCAGAGAGCGCGCCCATGACAGAGGAGGAGGAGACCGTGCGCCTGTTTATGGAGCAGGTGCAACATCCTGATTGGCCAACGGTACCTGAGTAAACCAATCAGTGTAGACATGGGCGGGTCTTTATTTGTTTCTCTTATCAAAATACCCCGAAAAATCATTTTTAAAAAAAGACATCGTTTAACGAGTGTCATTTCCTTCTAGAGATTTCGGACCTGAACCAGGAAGTTCGTTATCACTAGATAAAAGTAGAGCTTTGAATTGTTCTAGAAAGATTGGATGCTAGAGCTGATCGTTCCATGACCACGGGGTGGAGTTCTACAAAAGTTGTTGCACTTGTTGCTGGAGACCGGAGGCAACAGAAAGTAGCAAAAAAAATTTAGATTAAATTAAAAAATTAAAAATAATTTAAAAAAATTAAAAGTTAACATCATACATTTTTTTTGCTCTCAGGCACAAATCTTAGCACCAATTTCAAATAACGATAGTCTGAAGTTAGTGAAGTTATATTCAAACTACTTGAAAGGGTCTTTAATGTTGCAATGTACGTACGTATACGTAAAAACGTATATATTTATTTTTTATATATACACAAATGATGGTCTGAACTGCTTCGTGACATTATAGAGACGGTGCCTGCTTCCTCGTCTGACACCATGCAGACGGTCCCTGGGCCGTGCCTGACGGCTGGATGCCTCCCCTCCCCCACTCAGCCGTGCTTCTGTGTCCCTCAAAGATGGCGTCGGCTCCGTAGCCC